TATGTAATTTCAGCTGGCCTTAAACTCACTACATAGCCCAGGCTGACCTCAAACTCTAGTGATTCTCCTGTCTCAGCCTCCTGAATGCTGGAATTATAGGCCTGGCTTCCTTAATTGTTTTACCAACTGCTATGGTTTGCCATTCCTTCCTTCCATTGCTCCTGTTGAAATTTAGTAGCCAGTGAAAAAGTGCAGGTGAAATGTTAAAATGTGGTTAGGCCATGAGGCAGAACTCTCAGTGGAACTGGTGGCGTTATGAAACTGCCCCACTCTTGCCTTCTCTCTGTGCCCTTCTGCCTTCTGCCATGTGATGACATAGTAGACGCCAGTACCTTGATACTGGACTTCTCAGCTTCCAGAACTACGAGCCAGTAAATTTCTGTTCATTATGAATTACCAGTCTGAAGTATTCTGTTATAGCAGCATGAAACAGACTGAGGTACCGGTAAAAAGACCCTTTTAAGATCTCAGAAACATTGTTTTCTTATTCTGAGCTCTACTATAAATGCCCAGCGTGACTACACTTTATTGCTTAGTTCCAAATTTACCCTTCAGTATAAGATCTGCCATAATGGACAGAATTCCTTTAAAGGCATCTCTCCTGCTACGCTTTCTCAACAGAGGGACAATGCAGGAGGAGGAGCGGGGACGGGGGGGCGGTTCTGGCAACTGCAGTGGGTCAGTGGTGCAGGAGGGAGGTCATCCAGTGGAGCTGCGCCTCAGCCACATGCCCAGGTGTGGGCCCCTTGGTAACCTTGAAGTCTCAGCGTGGACTGGGGATAACTTTCCTCTTGGTGTGGAAACCACTGCCTTAAAGTGCATGTTCCCACCCCTCAATTCACTCTGCAGGCTCCCAAACTGTGCCTCACCTGCAGCCCGGAGGACTCGTACTCGGGAGCCCTTCTCTCTGCAGGCCATGACAGGTATTCTGGAGGTTGCGTCCGGCTTGCCCGGCGCCTGCAACCAGCAAACTTCACTGCTGTCCACTGGGCTAAGCTGCACCTTTTCCACTGAATCCAAACTCCACTGTGGGCAGGGATCCTCTCCTTCACTTCTGATTTCCTGCCAGTCACTCTTAAATTAAAATTTAATAGTTCTTTAAAGTAAACATCCCTGTTTAACATACTATGTCTTTTTTTTATCTCTTGATTGGATCAGACAGACATTACTAATATAAAAACATCTTTCTTTAATTTTTTATTATCTGTACCATTGTTTCCTCAATTATTAATGAAGACAGGGTTGCCTGAGTAAACTGTGAGTTACAAAAGAAGGGGAGAGGCAGGGAGGGGGCGGGGAGAGCAGCAGCTGTAAGGGGCAGCCTTGCGTGCTGTGAATGTGCCTGGGAGCTGCCTGCCTAGTGCTAGGTGGTGCTGCTGGGCCTGCTTTTCTGCACAGCCAAGTAAGGTGAATCCCAGCTGATTCTTGATGTGCACTTTAAAATCAGACCAGGAAATGCTGCTCTGAAAAGGAGCTCCTTACAGCCTATCTTTATCGCATTTTCTTGAATTACTTTTCAATTGCTTTGTTCTCTAATATAGACTTTGTTTTTTGTTTCTGAGACAGGGTCTTGCTATATGGTCCAGGCTAGCCTTGAACTCACCTTGTAGTCCAGGCCTCAAACCCACAATCCTGCCTTATCCTCATGACTGTGGGATCACAGGCATGCTTCACTATGCTCAGCTTAATACAGAATTTCTTAAACATCAATTATTAAATGAACAGTTGTGAAAGAGTTACGTTTAATTTAGACAATTTCAAACAGATATATAAACCCAGGTTTTACATGATGCAAGGATTTAAAATCACAAGGTAAACCAGCTGTAGCAATACACACTTTTTTTTAGAAGACTTGGTGTGATTTTTTTTTTTGTGGGGGGAATGTGGGGAGCATAACATGGAGCTGATTACACTCTGATATTACGCCAAGCATAGATATGTTTTACTACATAGGCTACAAACCTTTTGCCCCTGTACTGGAGAGATTAAACCCAAGGCCTTCACATATTCTTAGCCCTTTCTTTATTATTTTGAGACAGGGTCTTGCTAAGTTGCTAACCTGCCCAAGCTGGGCTAAAACCTGTTATCTTCCTGCCTCAGCCCTCCAGGGTGCTGGAATTACAAGCACGTGCCACTACCCCCCAAGTGACTATTCACTCAAAATTCAAACTGAATTCTGTGCTTTGGGTCACCTGCCTCTACCTTTCCCTGATCCCCACCTTAGGATCTCCAGAGGTCCTGAATGAAAAAGGCAATTGTGAGTTTTTTGAGGGCATTTTTTTGTCTTTTTTTGAGGCAGGGTTTCACAATGCAGTTCAGGCTGACCTTGAACTCACTTTGTAGCCCAGGCTGGCCTTGCACTCATAGCAATCCTCCTGCCTCAGCCTTCCGAGTGCTAGTGTGTGTTTGTTTTTTGAGACAGAGTCTTACTATGCACTCTGTGCTGGCCCTGAACTCACTACGTAGCCCGGGCTGCCTTTAGAAAGTTACGGTCAAGGAAATGAGTGTACTGTTACCTGAGCCTGAAAAGGAAAGCAGTGTACACACGTGTTGGCTGTGCATAACTTACATGCAACACTGATAGAGAGGGGCAAGAATGCTTCTCTCATCCAGCGAGGGGTTCCCAAAGCTGAAAATTAGATGAGAAGTTAGTGAAGTAGGCAGAAGTACCAGTTCTTGCTTAGCATCAAAGACACAGCAAATTCTGTAAGAAACCCAAAGGTGGCCCTAGATAAATTTAATGTGCTAGCAGCTCTGATCATTTAAAAATAAGCAGGGCATGACCAGTTAGACACAGGATCCCTAACAGCCTGAGCTGAAGTATCAAACAACACATAACCTCATTTACAAGGAGCCTTTTTCCTTCCAAGATCCTGCAAGGTGCTGGAGCGTAACTATAGCAACAGTGTGGAATGCACAGACCAAAATGAGAAGAAGAGAATCTCTAAACTTGAAAAGCTTGGGAGAGAAATAAGGGATATTCATACCCTAAACAAGCAGATGGCCATTACCTCTCCTACTCCAAAATTACCAATACCCTATTCTCCACAAGAAAGTATACTGACAGCTTCAAGCTGGAAAAATTGCTCAGAAAACACTAATTCAAAGCAGATATAAAAGTGTTATGAGCTAATTCAGAGTTAGGAAAATAGAGATGATTCTGGAAAAACTGTCAACTTTTACTCTTTTCCAGGAAGCTCTCAACAGCTGCAGTCCGCTAGCCCTCAGCACAGAGCAAATCCTCCAATAATAAAAGCTGCTATGCAAGCCGGGGATATAGGTCAGTGGCACAGTGCCTGCCTGTCACGCTCAAGGTCCTGAGTTCAATTCCTGGTATCAAAAAACCAACCAACCAAACAAAGATTAGATAAAAGCTGGTATGGAATGAATGTGTCTGCTCTCTCCCGAAACGTTCATGTTGCTAAATAATCCCTAGTGTAAGGGGTAGGTGGGGCCTTTGGGAGGTAATTAGTGGGAATCTCATGAACAGGACGCACGTCCTCAGAAAAGAGAGCTCGCTCACCTCTTCTACTGTGTGAGGACACACAGAGGGTAGCACCTAAAAGGAGCGGGCCCTCGCAAGACACCGAGTCTACCAGCATCTTAGTCTTGGACTTCCTACTCTCCAGAGTAGCACAAATACTTGCTGTTTACAAACTGCTCGGTACTTTGTTTATTTTGTTACAGCAGCTGGAATAAACTAAACAACAAATTTGATACGTATCAAATGTTATGTGTATCAGAATTTATATGACCTTTTAAACGAAGTGATCATTTTTACAAGCAAAGACAAAGAGTTTCAGGAGCAGATACAGCCCTGGCCACTGGCTGCTTTGCTGCGGTGAGTCAGAGGGAGAGGCAGTGTTTGTCAACCTACTTTCTGTTGCTGTCAGCATCCTTCACAGGGTACGAGGCACCTGTTGCTCAATATAACATGGTGGCGTCATTTCCTGATGCTACCCAAGCATTCTTTACTAAGGAACCATGTCTCTACTCATTCCCAGCATCTGAGGTTAATAGCAGTGACTCAGTGCTTGGACAGTTCTAGGGTCCAAGGAAGCATTCCATTTTAACAAATTCTATTTAAGCACAACTAAGAGTATGGCACTAAACTGGCCACCAAGGAGAGTGCAGAGTGCAAAGTGGAAATACAATGTGCTCTCCAAATCGCTTAGGCCTAAAGAATAAGTGTAATAATAATAAACAAACTCATTCAAGGCAAAAGTGATTTTATTTAACATATAATCACTACGCAATAGCTTTTCTTGTGATAGCAAAAGTCTCAGCCTAGACTGCCACAAAAATAGCAGAACATCCTATTATTTGACAGTATTAAATTTTAAATTGCAAGAACCTCTGGATAGATGAATTTAACAGAAAATAAAGTCCATCTTCTATTAAATCTGTACTTCTCAGATTTGATGCTCTGCAAACATCATAGCCAAGAAAGAAGAATACAGGTGGCGACAAATTAAGGACCTTGCCTTACAACTATTTGCGAAGGGGAGCACTTTTTCATTTTTTCAAAGCCCTGAAATCCCTTAGGGGCAGAAAAGGATGGGTACCAAGAGCAAAAGGCCCAGGTAGAAAAAAGGACACATTCTATCAACAGTGTTCTGGACGTTTCCCAGGATACCTGCTCTAGTTTGGACCTGAAATGTATCTCAAAGGCTCATATGCAAACGGCCCGGCTGCCCGCATACAGTGCTACTGGGAAGTGGTGCAACCTTTAATAGGTGGGGCCCGGGAAGGACGCTGGGGCACTGGGGCTTCCCCTTGAAGGGGAAGCTGGAACCCTTCTGCTTCCTCTCTGTGCTCATTAGCTGCATGAGGGGAGCAGCTGTTCTCCAACATGTGCTCTCTACCATCATATTCTACCTCACCACAGGCCCAAAACAACGCAACCAACTAAACATGGACTGAAATCTCTGAAATAGCGAGTCAAAATAAATCTTTCCCCTTTTACGTTGATTTTCCTAGGCATTTGTTATAACAACGAAGAGCTCATTAACATGATACACTGGAAAATATCCTTCCTTTATACATAGCAAATGACAAAAGACAGTCCTGCTGGTCTTACCTTTTGGCATTATCGAGAAGGATGAGCATACTAGCACCTTCATCATCTTGAAAGCTCTCATAGTGATGGCGGTCAGCATTGCCAATCAGGTAATCAAAGACAGAGGTGTCAATGATGTCCAAGAGGCGCGGGCCTGAGTCATATGGAGATGTTTTTTTCACAGCATCACAGTAGCTCTCATCATACTCCCACCTGAGGCAAGCAACATCACGAAGGTTACTGAGTGCCAATAAGGTACCTTACCGCTTGAATCTTAAACGACTACCAAAGGCCATGTGTTGAAGGTGTGATGGAACTTTAGGAGGTGGGACCAAGTGGAAGGAAGGTAGGTCACTGGGAGTGTGCCCTTAAGGACAGACTGAAATCCCAGCCCCTCCATCACTTTGCTTCCCAGAGTCCACGAGGTGAGCAGCCTTACTCCACAATGCACTTCTCACCATGATGTTCTGCCTCACCACAGACCCAAGAGCAATGGAGCCAACCCACTATGACTGAATTCTCTGAAACTATGAGCCAAAAATAAACCTTTCTGCCTTTCAAGCTGTTTATCTTAGAGATTCTATCACAGTGATAGAAAGCTAACAGAAAATTGGTACTAGAAGTGAGGTACTTGCTATGACTATTATCTTATGATGTGGTTCACAAGTCTTTGGAACTGCTCTGCAGAAGCTGGGAGAAGCAGACTAGAGAAAGCCTAGAATGCTTGAAGCTGAGACTAATGGGCAATTCTGGTGGGAACTCAGATCACAGTGTTGATAGAAATGCAGATAGCAAAGACTGTGCTCCTGAGGTTTCATATGGAAATGAGGCCTCTACTGGGAATGGGACTAGAGGGTATTTATGTTACATTCTGGCAAAGAATTTGTCTACATTGTGTCCATGCCCTGAGACTTTGTAGGAGGCTGACTTGTTTGTCCAGTAAGGGAAATTTCAAGATATCACAGAATTCAGGCAGTAGAATGGGTTTTGACTGCCACTTTCAGTCATGAGAAATGGCAGCAAAAATCAGAGCAGAAAGATTTGAAAAACTTGCAGTGTGACCAGAAAAGAAGCATGTGTAAAATTTAAGCCAAGGAAGATGACTGCTGAAGAAATTAGAACTATTAAAAACAAGCCTGGGGCTGAGGACGTGACTCAGTGGTAGAGCTCTTGTCTTGCATGCACAAGTCCCTGGGTTCAATCCCCAGCATCCCCCAACAAAGAAGCCACCTGGTACTTTGCTCCCACATAATAGGAAAGATACCTTGAGAATATCTCAGGAATCAGTAAGACCCCACCCATTACAGATTCAAGGGTATAAAAGTATAAACCTTTCACTTAAGAAGCCAGCCTTGTTCATACGGACTTAGAAAATCATTTCTCTAGAATCTGCTTCTCTTATGTTTAGCCTTCAAGGTACTCAGCCCGTTCACTACTGTGGTCTAGGAGGGTCTGGCTACTGCTTTAGTTTAGTTTTATTTTTTTTTTTTAAAAGGAATAGAAAATTTTATGCTAAAAAAAATGATCCCCAATAAAACAATCAGTAGCACATTGCATCTGTTTTTTTTTTTTTTTTTTTTGGTTTTTCTCCAGTACCAGGAACCGAACTCATGACCTTGCGCTTGCCAGGCAGGCGCTTTGCCGCTGAGCTAAATCCCCAGCCCCCCACATTGCATCTGTTAAGTGTTGGCTACTGCTTTAGTGGCAGACTTCGGTGTCACCGATGTGATGCTGATTTCTCAGGCATACAGAACGCAGGAGCTGTGGGGTCATGGAAGTTATGACTGAGATTTCAAAGGAAAGCACAGGGGACAGGGAGTACAAGGCAGAACTGAAGTTTTTACAAGCAGCTCTTGAGAGGCTGTGAGAATGAAGCTGAAGCTACAGTGAAAATCGCAGGAAGCTACTGATGCTAGGAATAGGAACGCTGCTAAAGAAGGACCAGCCCAAGAGACAGACTATGTGGGCTGAATCAGCAAAGCTGTAGGGGTGAGGCGGTCCAAGCCCTTTGGTGTGTCCCGCCCCCCCCCGTACCGGGAATTGACCTTCTGACCTTGTGCTTTGCCAGGCAGGCGCTGCGCCACTGAGCTAAATCCCCAGCCCCACGTCCAAGCCCTTTGGAACCCACACAAAATCACCATGTTCCCCACATAATGGACATTGGAGTGAGAGGATTTAAAGTCTGCTGGGACTGTCTTGTTTTAGTCCAATTCCTCCTTCCTATTTTACCATTCCTCCCTTTTGAATAGGTTATGTTTATCCTATCGTATTTTGGAAGTATGCAACTTGTTTTTTTATTTTCTCTCTCTTTTTGAGGGGGTAGTGTCTCGTTACATAGTTCAGGCTGGCCTCGAATTTGCAATGATCCTCCTGCCTCAGCCTTCTGATTACTGGGATTGCAGGCATGTGTCACCATGCCCGGCTTTGTTTACTTTTTTTGAGGGCTTACAGCTAAAAATCTACTGTGAGTCTCAGAGACTTTGGACTTAAGACTTTTTAGCAATGCTAGACGTCAAAACTTCGAGGACTCTTGGAAATAGACTGAATGCCTCTTGTATACTGACATGGACATAACCTTCTGGAGGCATGTTAGGGTTTAGATCTTAAGTATCATCCCTATAGGCCACGTGGAAGTTTTGCTTGCCAACATTCAGTGCTACTGGGAGATGGGGGAACCTTTAGGAGGTGAGCCCTACTGGAAGGAAGTTAGAGCACTGTGGTTGTGTCCTTGAAGAGATAGGGAACCCTGGCTTAACCCCCTTTTTTGCTTCCTGGCAACCTCCTCCACCATGTGATTCTGCCAGGATGTACTGTGCCACTACAGGCCCAAAGCAACTGTGGCCGAACACCCATAAACTGAAACTTCTGAGACTGTGAGCCAAAACAAATCTTCCTTCTTTTTAAATTGATTTATCTCAGGTGTTTTTCACAGCGACAGAACACTGACTAACTCAATGGCACTGCTAAAAACAAGAGAGTCCTTACTTAACAGGTTTGCCCTGATCCTGCAGGGGTTTTTTAAACTCTTGGAAAGCACAGCTAGCTTCTACTAGGGACAGGCACCTGGCCAAGCACAGGGGAGAATTAAGTCATGGCTCAGAGCAGCATCTACCTGGCCAGTTTGCCTTCTCGGTAGGTCCTGCCCCAGGGGTGTCGGTGTTTCTGCAGGGGCCACACATCTGGAAGCCAAAGCGTGACGGACCCCTCCATCGTGTCTCCGTCGGCACACGCTGGCTCTGTTTCTCGGCAGTAATAGCACTTCCCATAGAAACAAGTATTGTTTCCTAAAGGACAAAAAGGAACCAAGTATACTTAAGGAAAAATGAAGGCTCCAAATTCTCTTGCAAATAATCTAGAAGACATCAACTGAGTAAACAGGTACTAAGAGAACAAAGATCCTCAACTTACTATATTTTACATTTATTTTCCTTTCCTGTATAGGTAGAAAGCACATGGTTTAAAAAAAATCCTCATGGCACAAAAGGATATGTATAGTGTACCAAAAAGTGAAGTCTCATTCCCCGTGTGCCTTCTACCCAGTTTCTCTCCAAAGAGTTAACTGTCATCAAAGTATCTTTCTGAACTCACTTTGGTTACAGCAAAAGCACTGTCATTTTCTTCGGTGGCACTGAGGTTCTGGCCAGTATGCCCAGGGGACAGATGGCAGGCTCGTGCTCAATTTGGTCACAGATGGGGGTGGGGGCCAGGACTGAACAAGTAAACAGATTGAGGATAATGGGAACCAGGTTTCCTATAGATGGAGAAGGAGGTTAAATGTATAGAAAGGAAGATGGACGGAATGAATCCTGTCATGAATTAGAATTGGAGACATTGGTTTCAACTGATGATTTTCATATCCACTTAGAGACACACAAAATAATACAGATGTGTATGTATGTGCATCCATAGATATGCTTGTATATATAAATGCATACATACATCTCCTGCTGGTATCTATGTCCTTCAAAAGAACAGAGCAATCATGACACCCAGGTAGTAATGAGCACAGATGCCTATGCATTCTAAAGACCTCTAACGCTGCATTGAAAGGAATCTGGGCGCCCTGACGAAACAGCTAATTCCAGGGCCAAGGCAGGGAAAGCGTAAGGTGAGCCTGGACCGTAATAACATGCCACTCGTCGGGAGGTGCTCAGCAAATGATGGGAGCACTCCAAAAGCACACTAGGGGCTTGTTTGTAGGGGCTCCCACTGGGCAAATCTGGGACAGGGGGAGTGTTAAAAGAAAAAAATAACACTAGTAAATTGTAATTCTGAGTAAATTAACCCTATGGTTTCACAGTGATATGAATAAATAACTGTGTAGGGGTGGGGAAGTAAAGTTCTAACCCACAGTAAAATGACAACTAATAAGTCTAGAAGACACCATTAGACAATCACCATTTGGCAACTATCATAACATCAATTCAGGGGCCGGGGATACAGCTCAGTTGTATAAGTGCCTGCCTGGCAAGTGCAAGGTCCTGAGTTCGATTTCTGGTACAAAAAAAAAACAAAATACAAATAAAACAACATCAATTCAGACAAAAATTATCAATAAATGCTAAAGCTGGTAGGTGAAAGTTTGATTAGATTGGAATATTCACAGTTTTAGAATATCTTCCTACAAAGTACTTAGTAATTATTAGTAATACTTATTAACTTATTAACTACTTATACTAGTAATACTTATTAACTACTTATTAACTACTACTTATTAAATACTTATTAACTACTAGAGAAACCTGCAGATACCTACTAGCTTAATCAAATAATAAAAGTCAACATCACCAGATATGTCTTATGGGACCTATCTATAAATCTATATCATATACCTCAGCACAATATCATTTCTGTGATATTCCTGTCAAAATTTTAAAATCATAAACATCAGACAAAACCAAACTTAGAGATATTTTATAAAGTATAAACTCTGCAACAATGCTAAGGCCATAAAAATCAAGGTGAGCAATGAATTATTAAATTTATTTCTTTATCTTTTGGAGACAGAATCTCGCTACGTAGTCCAGGCTGGCCTTGAACTCACTATGTACCCCCGTCTGGCCTTAGACTTGGGGCGACCCTCCTGTCTCACAGTCTCGCAAGTGCTGAGATGGCAAGTGTGTGCCACCACACTCAACTAATAATTGTTGAAGACTCATAGAGGCTAGAAAGAAGTAACAGCTGACAGTACTTGGGAAGCAGAGGCAGGAGGATCAAGGCCAGCCTGGGCTACAAAGTGAGTTCTAGGCCAGCCTGAATTGCATAGTGAGATCCTGTCTCAAAAGGACCCCCAAAAAAAAGAAAAAAAGAAAAAGGAAACCTCAAAAACAAATATATCATGATCCTTGAATGAATTATAGGGACAAGTGACAAAATCTGTCTATAGTCTGTGGATTACACGGTGATCAATGTTAATCTCAATTTTCATGGTCAAAGGCGGTGGTGCCGGAGAGCGTCTTAGTAGTTGGAAAATACTGAAGTTTTAAGGAAGCATTCAATGGTGTAATAGGACATTCATATCTGTGACTTTATTTTGTCCTTTTGAGACAGGGTTTTACTATACAGTTCAGGCTGGCCTCAAACTCACAGTGATCCTCCTGCCTCAGCCTCCCAAGTGCTGGGATTATAGGTATGCATCACCACACCTGGCCTATCTGTGACTATTTCTTAAATAGCTGAGGTGTTAAAAAGCAAAGGACCTGGGGGACTCTGTGAACAGATATTCTAAACTTGTATACAAATTGAAAGTTACGTAAATATACAGTTTAAAAAAAAAATAATGCTTCCTTTTTCCACGTCCTCGAAATACAAGTATCAAATACGCCAATTCAGAAATCTCACATTCTCCTTCCATGAGTGTTTAAATTCTTATGTATGTGTATCCTTGAGAGATATTCATGTTTTTGTCTTTCCAACCTCCAGAACAGTATACACTAAATATATCATCTCCCCTACCTTAAAAGCTTCTGATAAAAAAGATTTAAATATAAAATTATCAATTTAACTTGATAACAGCAAAAATACCAATGTTTTTAGAGTATAACTAGACATGAAGGTTTAAAGGTCAATTGTTAGAAACCTCATAAGAGAAAAGAGAGGGAACTATTTTGAGTAAATATCAAAAATGGTAAGGCTTCAACATGTAAATCATTACAGACAGTTCATGAACAGACATAAGTACACAGAGTTAATTACAAAGTCTAGAAACTAAAGCTGTAGTTCACAGTAGAAAAAAATATTCCCCAATTGATAGCCTTTTGGGAAAAGGGCAAATGACAGCCTTTTGGAAAAAACAAACCAAAACACAGAGCCATATTTCATTCCACATACAGGGATAAATCCCAACTTCATAAAATTGTTTATGTGAAAAATAAAACTATAGTACTGTACAGTACTGAAAGGAAATAGGGCAGAATTCTTCCATTACCTTAGGAGTGAGCAAGACTATGAGCCCAATCAGAAAACTGAAGCCACGCACAGTGGCTTCCAGCTGTGGGATTCCAGCTAGTTAGGCAGCTGAAGCAGCACTATCTCAATTTCAAGGCCGGCCTGAGTAAACTACTGAGAGCCTACCTCAAACTTAAAAAAAAAAATTCCTACGTCTGTATCTGAAGATGTAGCTCAGTGGTACAGTGCTCCTAGGTTTGATCCCTAGTACTACAAACAATGAACAACACCAGAAAATTGAAAAGAAAACCCAATTATTACATTTTTAAAACAAAATTTCTATAAGACAAAAATATAAGCTGTTGGGAAAGGATATTTATATTTCATATCACAAAAGATAAATTTTAACTATATAAAAATGTTAATGTGAAAAATAAAACTACAGTATAAATAAAACTATCTATCCTACTTAGCATGAATTCTAAGTTGATAAGAACAACAGCAGGCCGGGCATGGTGGCCCAGGCCTATAATCCCAGCACTCCACAGGCTGAGCAGGAGGATCACTGTGAGTTCAAGGCCAGCCTAAACTGAATAGCAAGACACTGTTTCAAAAAGATAACAAAAAAAGACCTATTGTAGCAGGAAATGAACAAAGTGTATGAAAACACAGTTAACAGAAAATACAAACAGCTCTTAAATGCTATATGTGAAACAGATAAAACACAAAAGTTTGATAACACATTATTGATGAAACTAGGCATAAGGACACTGTCAAATACTACTATTGGTAATATAAACTGGCTACATCTCTATGAAGGGTCATTTGGCCCTGACCATTAAAATTTAAAATGTAAAAAAAAAAAATATGTATGCAACCTATCAATTCCACTTTCAGGAACGTTTGCTCATTTGTGAAGTAACATATATGCAAGATAATTCTGGGCAATAATGGTTACAAAATACTGAAATAACAGGTAAGTCCAAAAGGGACTAGTAAAATGAATTATGGTAGATCCATAAAACTGAACAGTCTGCAGCTGGTAAAACAACAAAGGAATGAAGATCTTTATGTATTATGTGGGAAGATGTCTAAGATATAATAAAAAGAATAAGATGCAGAAGTATATATAATGAGCCATAGTTATATTTATTCATTTCATATAAAATCACATAAATTACCAATAGATTACCCCTGGGAAGAAGGGGAAGTGGATGGATGTAAAGAGAACTTGTCATAGTCCTTTTAACACTTGAGAAAAAACTGGCACTGTCTGAATGTGTTTCTAATTCAAAAAATTTAAGAAGAGGAAGGAAAAAAAGCAAACAAAATACTACTTGGTATGGGAAACCTTTTGCTTACAGGATAAAAACCCAAATTCCTGAGTTTGGTAAATCGGAATCTTCAAAACGGGAAGTGAGTATGGCACACTGGATAAGAGTATAGGGTCTGGGTCAGGTTTCTGGAATTAAAATATAAACTCTGTGTGTGTGTGTGGGGGGGTGCTAGGGATCAAACTCAGGGCCTTCTAGCATGCGAGGCAAGGTCTCTACCACTGACACACACGCCAAGCCCTTAAAATACAAACTATTTTCACCAGGAGACCACCAGTATCTGGGAATGTAATTTCGTCTCTCTAAGCATCAGTGATGTAAAATGGAGATAATAACATGCTGTTCCTCCACTGCAGGGTTGTGAAGATTAAATGAGATCATCTATGGCGATGCTCACTGCACGCTTGACAGCCAGAACCCAATCAACGCTAAGTATTTATTATTAATAATATGGCTCGTCCTACCTTTCCAGACTTCTATACCCCTACTTCAGTGCATGAGCCTGAGGCTCGGAGCCTCTATTTCCTGGATATGCTCAACTTCTGCAACTGCTTCACCTCACTCCCTATCTGTTTGAGTGAACTGTGATAGTACAATCTGTGCCCCTAGTCTGGAGTTTTCTCCTAAATGGGAGACTTTAGCGCCTAAAGGATTAGTCAACATTTACTCCTAGATGTTTCTGTTAAGGAAATGAAATATTCAAAATTAAATGCATTATTTTCCTCTGCTTCACTGGAGTCTGGCCCTTTCTGTAAACTTCTCAGACATTTAACAGCTAATTCACTTAGCCCTCCAGTCCAGAAACTTGGAAAGTCATTTTAAGGTTTTTGTCTCATTTAACTGCTCCCCCTGGTCAAAAAAATGTTCACCACGCTCTTTGTATTGCCATTCTTGAGTATCTTTTGCATCTTTGTATCCCTGGTCCCTGCTTCAGTTCTGTCTCTTACCGCACATGAATTTTCTGCAGTGGCCCCCTCCCGATTCTCCCCTTGCCCATTTGTCTGCTACAAGGTTACCACAATCCGTTTTCTAAATTCAAAGCTGATTATTCCCTGTTCAAACGCTCTCGGTGGCCCCCCAGTGCCTGAGGACTCCTGAGGCTCTTCAGACTGTCGTGACTGACTACTCTCCTCACTGCTAGCCCCACATACTCTACTTCAGCTACCCCACGCAGTCTCCTCGGCTTGTCCTTCTCTTCGTTTACTTCTCATCACCCTGGTCTGTGCTTTGTCTTTCACCTAGAACAAGGTTAACTCAGGGGATCTGTAAATTGGATGGGAAAAAAAGTTCATCTTCATTTTCACTAAGCTCTATGTGAAATTTAGCATTTCCTTCCACAGTGATGGTGGGAAGCAAACCATAATATCAATATTCCCAGTGACTTTGTCTCTAAGAGAAATCATAACTTTTTTTCCTTTTGACTTAGCCTTGTTGCAGATATCTCAAAATATGACTTATGGGCTGGGAACGTAGCTCAGTGGTATAGTGCTTGCCTAGCATGTTAAATAACAAAGCACATAACTGTAGTACCACAAATTTACTTTTTACAATTTTTTCTTTTTTTTTTACAATTTTTGATAGTGAAATTTACTTTAATATTACTGGTTTCATTTATGTATTTTATGTATATAAAAACACTGAACTTGGGATGTTGCTCGGTGATAGACTGCTTGCTTATCATATATGAAGGCCTGGATATGATCCCCACCACTGGAAAACAAACAAAACACTATTCTGAGTAAACCCAGACTGTTCTTTTCCACTGTATCTATGGGGGTTGGGGGTGCTATTCTCCTTTTAAGACTCCAGTTAATATGTGACATTCACCAATGAATTATCACCCTGGCCCTAACTTCTAGGCCTTCCCATCTCTCCACACTCCCTATGTCATGCATGTCTGCTCCCCGTTAGAAAGTTTCTTGAAGGCAAGAAGTAATTCATTTTGAAGATTCAGTTCAGTACCTAGTTTAGAACC